GTTCCAGTTCCAAAGGGCCGTTCTAGTGAAGACAGCTACCACACTTCCTTAGACTTCTTGTTTCCAGGCAGCTCAGCCCAGGCTCTTGTGCAAGCTGCTGATCTGGATGTGGTGGCGAGACCTGCTTCCACACCCCAGCTCGTCTCTGGAAGTATGACATAAATAAAACACTCCCTCACATCTCTATCAGACCCTGCAAATTATAGAGCTATTATATATACAGATACATGCCATCCAATCTGATTGGATCTTTGCAGTGATCATGAACTACTGGATTCCCTTACAAATGAAGACAGGCTCAGAGTGATGAACACACTTCCCAAGGCCTCACTGCATTTTGGAAGAGCTGAAACTTGACTGAAAGCTGTGAGCTTTCCAGAGAACCACGGAGTCAATCTGTGACCACATACAATTGTGACATTGACAGCAACAAGACTCTAGGTGAGTCTAATCCATGCAGAAGAGAGCAAGACACTTGTATGTCCCCAGAAGCAGCCTGGAATCACACTGTATTTCTGGAAGTTCCCTTGTGCTCTCAACTTCCACGGAGCTTACACTCGCCGTCCCTTTTACAGGTCTTGCCATCAAAGTGCAAGGCCTCATATTTGCACTCAGGAGCTGGCATCTGGGGAACTAAGACAAAAGGTCAGACGCTGATCACTGTGACCATCCTAACAGGTTCAATGCAGCCTTCACACTTGCCAGGACTAGCTCTATATACTCTATGGGGTAGTCATTAAAAAATAGGGGCCCTGAATACAGGATAACCCATACCCCACTGCTGTCAAGTCGATTCTGACTCATAGCGACCCTATAGGACAGACTAGAACTGCCCCATAGGGTTTCCAAGGAGTGGCTGATGGATTCCAACTGCTGACCTTTTGGTTAGCATCCAAGCTCTTAACCACTGTGCCACCAGGGCTCCATGCCTGGCATAAATCCAGCTCTCTACCTCAGTTCCTTAAACTATACATTGACAACCTCATTTCATAAGGTTTCTGTGAGTCTCAGATGTGAACACACAGGCAGTGCCTGGTACAGAGGAGGCCTCAGTGGGTGTTAGCTGTCATCATTACACTGCCCGGGTCTGGGTCATCGAGTCCTTTGATAAGCATACTTTCAATATCTTTCCAAGTCATGACAACATTGTTGAAGAAACCAGGGCAAAGGACACTACTCACTCTAGGTTGACAACACACAAGTCAGTAGCCTGTGGTTATGTTGTTCAGCCATTTTTAAGCTGAACAGCAATCAAAAGGTCAGTAGACCAGGGTTCAAATCCCAACTTCACCACACCAGCTGTGGGGCTTTGGGCAACGAGTCCCTGCTTCAGTCTCTACCTCTGTACAACAGGAGTAACAACAGTACCTATTCTCCCAGGGATGTTGTGATGATTAAATAATGCATGCAGAGCCCCTAGCAGGTATTAAAGGCTTCATCTATGTTAGTGTTATTATCTTAACACCCAGTCCTTACTCTTTCATCTTATTCATAAGGGTATCTTCAGTGACCTTGTCAAAATGTGCCTTAAATCAAAACATACTACATGTCTTAGTTATCTACTCCTGCTGTAACAGAAATACAAGAAGGTGGCTTTAACAAATAGAAAATTATTTTCTCACAGTTGAGGCTAGGCGTCTGAATTCAGGGTGCTGGCTCTAGGAAAAGGCTTTCTCTCTGCAGGCTCTGCAGGCAGGTCCTTATCTCTCTTTTAAGCTTCTGCTCCTCTGCAATCTTCATGTGGCTTGGTATCTATCTTCCCCCATCTCTGCTTGCTTAATGCTTGCTTAATCTGCTCTTTTATATCTCAAGAGATTGATTTAAAACATATCCTACACTAAGACTGCCTCATTAACATAACAAATAAAATCCATTCCCAAATAGGATTATAACCACAAGCATTAAAAAAAAAAACCAAATCCGTTGCTGTCGAGTCCACTCCGACTCATAGTGACCCTTTAGGACAGAGTAGAACTGCCCCATAGGGTTTCCAAGGAGAGGCTGGTGGATTCAAACTCCAGCCTTTTAGTTAGCAGCCGTAGTGCTTAACCACGACACCACCAGGGTTTCCAACCATAGGTATAGGGGTATTTACAACACGTATTTTGGGGAGACACAATTCAATCCATAATACTGCATAATAACATGTTTCTATATCGAGACACACTTGTTCTTATGAACTCACTTTGCTTCCCGCCAGGAACGGCCACTGCCTGAACCAGCATTACAGGGCTGATCCTGAACCATGGAGAGGTGTGGGTCTTGTTTGTCCTCGGCACCCAGTTCTCTCATGCGCTCCTAAGAATTATTCTGAAAAACAAATACTGCACATCATGTTGTTCGAGGATTATGTACTCTCCCTCTAAAGGGTACTTGAATTTCTGGAGGTCGCCAAAGAGAAGAACTATGAAAATACAAAGAAAGACAAAGAAAACGGTACATCTTTAGATTTCAGACACATAGATTATTTTGAGCAGCGGGTTTGATACTTTCCCCTAAAATACCTCAAATCATAATCTGTAATCTAATATGTAATCTATACAGAAAAGTGATCCTTATATTATTTCCTTTTAACAAAATATTAACAACCAAGTAAATAACTTTAAGATGCTTATGTATTTTTCCTTTATGACACTATTATTCAAATTTACCCACCAACCACTAAGGCCAAAGATGAAGAAATTTAAGATTTTTACCAAATTCTGCAATCTGAAATTGAACAAACATGTAATCAAGATGCATTGATAATTACTGGTGATTGGAATGCAAAAGCTGGAAACAAAGAAGGATCAGGTAGTTGGAAAATATGGCCGTGGTGATAGAAATGACGCTGGCGATCACATGATAGAATTTTGCCATTCCAACGACTCAGTCGTTGCAAATACCTTTTTTCAACAACATAAACAGCAACTATACACATGGACCTTGCCAGATGGAATCAAATAGACTACATCTGTGCAGAGAGATAATGGAGAAGCTCAATATTAAATCAGTCAGACAAAGGCCAGGGACCAACTGCGGGACAGACTATCAACTGCTCGTGTGTAAGTTCAAGTTGAAGCTGAAGAAAATTAAAACGAGTCCATGAGAACCAAAGTACAAACTTGAGTATATCCCACCTGAATTTACAGACCATCTCAAGAACAGATTTGATGTACTAAACACTAATGACCAGATGAGCTGTGGGATGACATCAAGGACATCATACATGAAGAAAACAAAAGGTCATTAAAGAGACAGGAAAGAAAGAAAAGACCAAAATGGATGTCAGAAGAGACTCTTAAATTTGCTCTTGAATGTAGAGTAGCTAAAGCTAATAGAAGAAATGATGAAGTAAAAGAGCTGAACAGAAGATTTCAAAGGGCGGCTCGAGAAGACGAAGTAAAGTATTATAATGAAATGTGCAAAGACCTGGAATTAGAAAACCAAAAGGGAAGAACATACTTGGTACTTCTCAAGTTTAAAGAACTGAAGAAAAAATTCAAGCCTTGAGTTGCACTGTTGAAGGATTCTGTGGGCAAAATACTGAATGACTCAGGAAGCATCAAAAGAAGATGGAAGGAATGCCCAGAGTCACTGTACCAAGAAGAACTGGTTGATGTTCAACCATTTCAGGAGGTAGCATATGATCAAGAATCGATGGTACTGAAGGAAGAAGTCCAAGCTGCCCTGAAGGCATTGGCAAAAAACAAGGCTCCAGGAATTGACGGAATACCAATTGAGATGTTTCAACAAACTGATGCAATGCTGGAAGCACACATTCGTCTATGCCAAGAAATTTGCAAGACAGCTACCTGGCCAACTGTCTGGAAAAGACCCATATTTGTGCCCATTCCAACAGAATGTGGAACTTATTGAACAATATCATTAATATCACATGCAAGTAAAATTTTGCTGAAGATCACTAAAAAACGGTTACGGCAGTGCATGGACAGGGAATTGCCTGAAAGTCAAGCCAGATTCAGAATAAGACGTGGAACAAGGGATATCATGGCTGATGTCAGATGGATCCTGGCTGAAAGCAGAGAATACCAGGAAGATGTTTACCTGTGTTTTATTGACTATGCAAAAACATTCAACTTGTGGATCATAACAAATTATGGATAACATTGCAAAGAATGGGAATTCCAGAACACTTAACTGTGGTCATGCAGAACCTGTACATAGAATAAGAAGCAGTCACTGAAACAGCACAAAGGGATACTGCGTGGTTTAAATCAGGAAAGTTGTGTGTCAGGGTTGTATCCTTTCACCACAGGTATTCAATTTGTATGCTGAGCAAATAATCCGAGAAGCTGGACTATATGAAGAATGCAGCATCAGGACTGGAGGAAGACTCATTAACAACCTGCGATATGCAGATGACACAACTTTGCTTGCTGAAAGCGAAGAGGAGTTAAAGCACTTACTGGAGAAGATCAAAGACCGCAGCCTCCAGGATGGATTACACCTCCAAATAAAACAAAAAGTCTCACAACTGGACCAATAAGCAACATCATGATAAATGGAGAAAATACGGAAGTTGTCAGGGATTTCACTTTACTTGGATCCACAGTCATCGCCCGTGGAAGCAGCAGTTAAGAAATCAAGTGACATATTGCTTTGGGCAAATCTGCTGCAAAGGGCCTCTCTGAAGTGTTGAAAAGCAAAGATGTCACTTTGAGGACTAAGGTGTGCCTGAGCCATGCCATGGTTATTTTAATTGCCTCATATGCATTCAAAAGCTGGAGAATGAATGAGGAAGACCAAAGAATTATGGTGTTGGCGAAGAATACTGAATATACCACGGACTGCCAAAAGAAAACAACACATCTGTCTTAGAAGATGTACAGCCAGAATGCTCCTTAGAAGCAAGGATGGTGAGACTTCGTCTTACATACTATGGACATGTTATCAAGAGGGACCAGTCTCTGGAGAAGAACATCATGTTGGTAAAGTAGAGGGTCAGCCAAAAAAGAAGATCCTCAATGAGATGAATTGACACAGTGGCTGCAACAATGGGCTCAAGCATAACAACGATCGTGAGCATGGCGCAGGACCAGGCAATGTTTCGTTCTCTTTTACAAAGAGTCATTATGAGTCAGAGCCGACTTGAGGGCACCTGATAACAACAGTGTACAGTTGGTCTTTAAGATACTATGGGCAAGAATTATCAGTGCTATTTTGATAAAGGCCAGTCAATACTGACATACATATTAGCTAATGTTTAACTAGGTTGGTAGACAACAATAAAAGTTTGATTAAATACTTAAAAAAAAGAAGTCTGCCTGCCAGGGTTTTTTGACCCCCGATAAGAGGAAATGTAGGTCATTCACCAGAAGTGGGAGCAGAGGTTAGGTGAGGGAAAGGGTAAACGGCCGACTTGTCACAAACCCACATAAAAAATACACATTTTTCTAAGTATCACATCTGTGAATTGACACTTCCCGACCTCAGCCCCATAGACAAAGCCTCTTCTTCTAAGTGCTTTTAGAAAAATAACACTTGGTGACAAGCCAATTTTGTGCTAGCTAGGAGAAACAGCAAGAAGGGCTTGATTCTCTGGAAAACTAGGCCCATTTCTCGTTGAAAACAAACACAAACTAAGTCACAGAATCTGCATCACAGAAAATCTACATCTTATTTTGGCTGTTAGAACTTTTCTCCTCTCGGAACCTCACCAACTCGGAAATCTTTCTCTTTCGAAGCTGTTGTTAGGTGCCGTTGAGTCAATTCTGACTCATAGTGACCCTATAGGACAGGGTAGAACTGCCCCATAGGGTTTCCAAGGAGAAGCTGGTAGATTTGAACTGCCGACCTTTTGGGTTAGCAGCGAGCTCTTAACCACTGGGCCACCAGGGTTCCGATTCCCTTTTGTAGAGAAGTTATAAACTGACCAGCACTAAATTATTTCAGGAGCAGCCCTGGTGGCGCAATGGTTAAGTGCTCAGCTGCTAAGTGAAAGGATGGTGGTCTGAACCCACCAGCTGCTCCACAGGAGAAAGACGTGGCAGTCTGCTTCTGTAAAGCTTATAGCCTTGGAAACCCTACGCGCCAGTTCTGCTGTCCTATAGGGTTGCTGTGAGTCGGAATTCGACTTGATGGCAATGGGTTTGGGGTTGAGATTACTTCAACACCAGTAGGTCTCATGCTCTGATAAAGCCAACTATTTTTCCTCTTTATTTAGCTTTCATCCTCTGAATTATACTCTGCTGGATGAGTCCTTCTCGCTTTCTGAGAGTTTTGTTTACTTTAATCTGGACAAATGGGTCTGTCCACTGCGCTGGCTCGCACTGGTTTCTGAGGTGGTTTCAGTGTAAAGTTGACCCAGCTCTTTGGAGGGGCTGCCCTGGCCCACCCGCCCCAGGCAGGGGCAGACCCACCTCCAAAGTCCCCAGCTGCCTGCCTTGGGGAGATAGTGTTAGGACTACCCTCCATCTAAAGGGCTGTGCTGAGAGAGAATCAAACATTTATCCAGGAAGTTGGGCAGGCACCTTCCTCTCACTGTATCTGAGGTCGCTGTAGGATGGTGTCTTTGCGTTCACATACTCCAGTGACTTAGTCAGAACCTGTTAGGAAATTAAATGGCGCTCAGTCAGCAATAGTGGCCTAGAGGGTGAGTCCAAGTTATAAGGATAAGCCATTCAGCACTCTTAATATTTCCCCCATTAACGTAATTATTTCCCACTCAGTTAAAACAGAAATGGCGCAGACCAGACAAAATGGCCCTGAAACCTTTAAAAGACTATCAAAACAAGCGCTGGTATTTTACTGGCAAACGATCAGGCATGAAATGAAGAGCTCGGCAAGGTTATCAGTTAACAAAGTGTGGGTGCCACCAGACAGAATCACCAGCGAGCCGAGTGTGAATTTTAATAAGCCCCTTTGATAATATGCTGATCAGCTGAGCAATCATCATAAATCTGCATCACCTCAGCGACCTAGGTGATAAAGAAAATGGCACTCTATTTTTTCCATACAAAAATTTATACATACATGGTTGTGTGACCCTAATTGCTCTCCCCATACTGTGACAGCACACTCCTCCTTTCCACCTTATTCCCCGTGTCCATTCAACAGCTCCTAACCCTGCCTTCCCATCTCACCTACAGACAGAAGCTGCCCATTTAGTCTCTTGTATCTACTTGAGCTAAAGGCACACTCCTCACGACTATCACTTTATGTCCGACAGTCCAGTCCAATCCCTGTCTGAAGAGTTGGCCTCGGGAATGGCTTTAGTTCTGGGCTGGTAGAGAATTCAGGGGCTGTGCTTTCCGGGGTTCCTCCAGTCTCACTCAGACCATTAAGTCTGGTCTTCTTACTAGAATTTGAGTTCTGCACCTCATCCTTCTGCTGCTCCATCAGGGACTCTCTGTTCTGTTCCCTGTCAGGGCAGTCATTGGTGGTAGCTGGGCACCATCTAGTGAAAATGGCACTCTTCACTGAGTGCTGTGTGCATGCGTTAGTGAAGGCCACTGTGCCACTTTTGTTAGGGTAAACTCACGTTTGTCGTCATGGGATTTTTAGACTCAAGATTGAGAGCTTTATTTTTCCAGTGATTTTAAAAACTGAAAAGTCCATACACTTTCAAACGGCAATGAAACCATCGTGATGAGTAGAAAACTGCAGAGTAAAACAGGTAGTCATTTGGTGTTATGGATGGAATTGTGTCCCCCCAAAACATGTATCAACTTGGCTAGGCCATGACTCCCAGTATTGTGTGGTTGTCCACCATTTTGTCATCTGATGTGATTATCCTATGTATTGTAAATCCTAATCTCTATGATGTCAATGAGGTAGGATTAGAAGCAGTTATGTTAATGAGGCAGGACTCAATCTATAGATTAGGTTGTATCTTGAGTCAATCCCTTTTGAGATATAAAAGAGAGAAGCGAGCAGAGAGGAGAGGGGTCTTATTACCACCCATCAGGAGGCACCAGGGGTGGAGTGAATCCTTTGGACTCGGGGTCCTTGAGCTGAGAAGCTCCTAGACCAGGGGAAGATTGATGCCAAGGACCTTCCCCAAGAGCCGACAAAGAGAAAGCACCTGAATTCAGACTTCTAGCCTCCTAGATTGTGAGAGAATAAATTTCTGTTTACCAAAACCATCCACTTGTGGTATTTGTCACAACAGCACTAGATGACTTAAGACATTAGGTATGCCAACATCTGAGGGGAGAAGAATTTATTGGTGTGCATGGACATCACAGGGATGACGCCCAGCTGCAGTGTCCAGGGTGACCGTAGGACACCGAGGGCTAACACATCGGCCAAGTGCAGCTCTGCAATGAGCTGGGCTGCTCTAGAGCTGCCTGACTCATGACTGGACAGAAGCCCCGGAAGACGGTGTGGTTTGAGAAGATGAGTAGAAACACAGGTATCGAACAGTATTTGAGGGAGCTGTACTCTCTTCCTTTTCACACTGAATTCTACACTTCACTGTCCCCCACACACTTCACCTCTACCCCTGCCCTCCATCCACCCAGAGCTGTTCCGCCCGGTCAGTGGCAGAAAGGAATGATATTCCCGTTAGAAGAGGAAGCAAGCGTTGTAAGCTCCACCTCTCTTACTGAATCAGATGCAAAAGGCTGGGGGTGAGGAAGCTAACGGGCTCCACTTTACTTTCATCCATGGCCCCAGGCCAATTCTCAGGTCCAATCTTGGCTGCAAGGAGCCCTGGCAGTACAGTGGTTAAGCCCTTGGCTGCTAACTGAAAGGCTGGTGGTTTGAATCCACCAGCCGGTCCACTGGAAAAAGATGTGGCAGTCTGCTTCCGTGAAGATTACAGCCTTGGAAACCCTACGGGGCAGTTCTACTCTGTCCTGTAGGCTCGTTATGATTCAGAATCAACTCGACAGCAATTGGGGGGTTGGGGGGAGCAACAGGCTGGATGAGAACGCCAGGCAAGTCCAGGCAACTTGCCAGGAGGAGGTCTAGAAGTACAGCAGTTCTGGGCCTTTGGGTGGCTTCACAAGCCTGCTGGCACCAGTCTCTGACTGGCTTACGCCCCCTCCCCGGCTATCCTGTACTCTAGGACTGACTAAGGAAGTTATCTGACAGAGAATAGGCACGAGAAGGTTGTTTCTTCTAAAATCCAACATGCAATCATTCACTCAATTCAAAACGAAGGGGAGAAAAGAAAAGTTTTCAAGTTAGTTTTCTTTTCACTAATTTTATTTATATTTGGCAATTTTCATTTAGAATCAGGCTGAGATGTAGATATGTAAATGTGTGCATGTGTGCATGGATAATCCTTTAGAAACTTTACTTGACATAACTTCACATTTTTGGTATACAGAAATCATTTTTATTTTCCTAACGCAGCACAGTAGACATACGATCAATATTATTTCCTAGAATGTGCAATATATAAATTATTCACGTTAAAAAATTAAAAACGGAAAGCCTCATACACAGGAAATTTTTAAAAACATGGAACTAATTTTGAATGTGTGATTCTGACAACATCCACTAGTAGCTGTACACACCTGCAGGAAATGGCATGACATGCTTTTGAACAAGGTACAGACAACAGGGGTCCATTCCAGATGCTAATACACTATGGGAATAATTCGCCTTTCACTTTGGTTGGTGAAATTCCATGTGCTGAGGCATACACTGCATCTGAAAGATACTTCCAGAAGTACATTTATCACATTGGCATTTTAAAGATTTCTGTTTCTTCTATTCTCCTTTATAACGAGGGGGTCTTTTCTCTTTAAAAGCAAGAAGACCTTCGAGTCTGTCTTTTGTTGGAATGGTCTAAGAAAAAGAAAACATTATATTATCTATATCAAAAATTAAAACAACTGTAATAGTTTAACAAGCTTTATCTGAGAAAACAAATGAGGAGTACCTTCTAAAATTTTGAAATCTGCTAAAGGTTGGTGCTTTGAAACCACCAGCAGCTCTGAGAGAGAAACATGTGGCGGTCTACTCCCATAAAGATGACAGCTTAGGAAACCCTATGCGGGCAGTTCTACTCTGTCCTGTAGGGTCGCTATAAGTGGGGATGGACTTGATGGCACACAACGATAACTAGTCATCTGAACAATCCTCCTCATTATGTTACCAAATTTGTCACTGTAACTCCAAACATCCGTCTCAAATTTCTCTTCAGACTCCGAGGCTGTCCATTTCTAAGATGCCTGTAACTGACTTCATTCATAGCACGTGTGCATTAATGACGGGGTGATTTACGTGCACACACGGCTCATGATTCAGGACTCCGCCAGGCTTCAACGGGAACACAGGCAATGTCCAGTTCTCAGGGTATGTCAAACAAAACCCTTTTGCTACTCTGGATGCCCTAAAGCAAAGTTACATCTTTCAGAAAAATAAATAAAAACATTGTGTTCTTCCACAGAAAACCTGAATGCCTACAAAAAGAAAGCCAAGCACTTTAACTGGTGAGCTCCCAGGGGGTGGGAGGTACGGCTCGGACCTCAGGGACAGTCCACGAACCTCACACAGGGAGCATGCGCATGGCAGCCACGCCACTCACACACTGAGCGTCCATGAGGCAGCCACGCCGCTCATACACGGAGCACGCACGAGGCAGCCACGCCGCTCACGGCCTCCTCCCACCATCTCTCTAACATGTGGAGTCAGGACTCAAGCCAACACGCACAAAATACAAGGGCTGCAGCGAACGGCACTAACATAATCGTTCTCAGAGTGCTCTGAATTATGTAAACAAGAGTCATTGGTCCAGTCTGTAGAACAGAATCTGCCATCAGCACTGGTAAATGTCAAACAGCAGAAACAACTATTTCAACCCATTTGCACGACTTTTGAATGAGCATGAGGGTAAGCTGGCTCAGGATACAGAATTCACTTGCATTACACAGAAAGTAAACATTATAATCTGTAAGAGTGCATCCTCATTGAATCTGTGATTGTTTTACATACCTGGGCATAACAAGCTTCCTCTATGGCTAATCCCGTTACTAAATCAACCTGAGAATAAAAAAAAAAAAAAAATCATTTCAGCAGGAATTACCTCTAAAAATGTGGTATGTACAATATGGAAACCCTGGTGGCGTAGTGGTTTAGAGTTTGGCTGCTCACCAAAAGGTCGGCAGTCTGAATCCACCAGGCGCTCCTTGGAAACCCTATGGGGCAGTTCTGCTCTGTCCCATAGGGTCGCTATGAGTTGGAATTGACTTGATGGCAATGGGTTTTATATACAATATGAATTCAAATTTAATAACCCTCTTCCAAAAGAAGGGACCCATTTCATGTAGTATGGCAGATCAGAATTATGACGAGTACCAGAGACTGGAGCCAGTCTGCCTTAGTTCAAATCCCAACTCCACCACCTAGAGGCTGTAGAACTTTAGGTAAGTTATTCAGCCTCTCTGTGCCTCGGATAGGCATGTCTGAATACCTGGCTAGTGGTAATACCTACCAAACAGGGGTGCTGTGAAGATTAAATGAGATAACCCAAGTACAGCCTTTGAAAAGCATTTAAGATATAAATAAAATATAAATATAAACCTGGCACATATCAAGGGCTATAAAAGGTGTTTGCTGTTATAACTGTTACTTTTATGTAAGAATTAAAAAAGAATCAATTATTCTGCAAAGTTATAAAACTATATTTACTGCTAACAAATCCAATCTCTTTTTACTGCTACGGAGGCCAGAAAGATACAGTACCTCTCAGATCTGAAAGAAAAAAACCCCTTTCTTCAAAATTCCCATAGCCCTGGTGGCACAATGGTTAAGGAGCTGCGGCAATTCGAATCCACCAGCTGCTCCTTGGAAACCCTATGGGACAGTTCTACCCTGTCCTATAGGGTCGCTATGAGTCAGAATCAACTCGATGGCAGTGGGTTTGCTGGTTTTGGCCAGTGGGTGCCTGAACCTCTCCCTTCCACCGGCTGCCTCTGCCCTGGCCTGGGCTCCCCTCCTTTGGAGTCATCGCCTTGGGAAACCCTCAGACACCCTGCAGATTTGCCTTGTCTATGTGGGTCTCCCACAGAAAGCACACTGAGATGTGAAAGGGAAGAGAGCTAGACTCAACTTCGAGCTAGGACGTTTTCCTTTTGGATTCCTATGAACTACTAACTAATAAATCTATTAACTCAATGGCCAAAATAACATGCATGTTATAAACTGTAGGTTATCGGTGAAATTATTGAGCTCTATAATTAAGATACTGAATCAACAACACCAAAAGCAGAATGAAATCAGCGTTGTAGCTAAAAAGAACCTCAGTGGCAAACAGCTGTATCTTAAAACATTAAAAAATGATGTAGACATTTAAACAGGGTTCATTTAAATTAAATCTCCACTCTCCATTCCAACAGTAAAAAAACAAGTGAGAAGGTAACTTACCTCCATCCCTTGATTAATGGCTAACTTTGCCACCCTCATTGCAACCGGTCCCTAAAATTCAGATGAAAGAAACACAGATTTTCCTTACTATTTATGCAAATTATGTTGTCTATCCCAGTATCATTCAGAAATTCCCGCTGCTGGACTCACAGCACAGAACCAGCAATGGCTGTGAGGCAGCCAGTGGAGAAGTGTAACTGAGCAGCGTCTGTGGCAATGGTATTGCATGGAAAGTTATTTAGATCCCACGAGCCTTCTGTCACGCAGAGAGCTCTAGATTCGCACAGGTCAGCGGTGGTGTGTGTCCACTAGAGGACTTAAACCATTCTCGAATGGACAACTCCCCGTAGAAGTTAGGAACGGAACAGAAAAGAGCAGAACGTTTGATCAGTACCACGCCCATCAGTGGTCACGACAGAAGCCTGGGCTGGAGAGGAGGCTGGCGCTGTTGATTAGTACAAGGTTCACAAATCGTCTACTTCAGACACCAGCTCTGAATCTTTCCTCCGTTAGCAACGATCCTCGACTGCGATGACGGTGTATTATGAAGGACATGTCCTATAGGTAAGTGCCTCACGTTACAAAAAAACCCTAAAGTCTAAGGAAGTATTTGAGGATGTGCAAGAGCCGACAGAGGAAAGACGTGGGATGCCCTCTGTGAGAAGAAAAACATCACTCTGGTCTTGGGGAAGCTGCACTCTTACCAAACTGTCCTGCAGAGAACCACAACCTCCCAGACAGAATCATTTAGTTTTTAAATTCCTAAAAGTTGTTTATGGCTAATAAACTTGAATTCAATGGCATATTTTAAAGAGTCTTTTGAATTAAAATGCCAAGTAGGCTCTAAATAACAGACCCAACAAAGGACTCTAATAGCTACTTGGGAATGGATGAATAAATGAATGCATGAAAAATGCCATTTTTTCCTATCTAGGGATTTCTATTCTCACATCGGACCTACTTAAACTCTCTTCTTCAGCCACATACTCAAACATCCTTTCACATGTCACAGTTTTCCAAGGCTATGTTACTTTGACAAGAATCCCAGTCACAGTCTTTTACGCGTGGTTGTGTTTTCTTCAGGACTATCAAGCCATTTTTTAAACTCCTCTTAACGAAGACTCTTCCACTCGCCAATGATCCAGACAAAGAGCCCACCAACTCTCCTATGCACCGAATCCTGGGCCCTTGTTAAAATGCAGACCCTGATTTAGAGGGCTGGGGTGGGGCCTGGGACTCTGCATGTCTAACAAGTTCCCAGGGGATGCCTGTGCTACTGCTCCCCTGTCGGTAGCAAGGTTTAGAAAGCCTTGAAAAAACAGAAAAATAAGAAACACTACAATAGTGGTAACACTTGATTTCATTAGCTTCCCTTTCAAAACGTAAAACTAATTAATGCTTTTTCTTCACAACCTTTTCTTAGAAAGGTAAGTGGAAGTAACATAACAGAAATCATCTAGAAATACTGATTTTACAGAAGCTTTCTGATTATTTGGAATAGTAACCTCTCGGTGACAAAATAATAATTATAAAAATAAAGATGATTCCATCTCAACTCTCATTTTGTAACTTGTACACATAGTTTCTCAGTTACACATTTTCTTAAGTCATTTAACATCTCCTTATAAGCTTATCTGGCCTGGAGGAAACGGAATATTAACAATTAGGGAGTTCTCAGAGCAGTATCTTTGAGACTCGAGATGATGAACACATGAACCAGGATATGATGTGAGCACGCCTTCTCACACGGTGGAGGGTAGCTTGACGTCAGCTTACAAGTGGCAGAGAGGGAGGCGGAGAAGATTCTACCGGTTCTCAGGCAGGCGATGGGGGGACAGCCACGTCATTAACTGCCCTGAGGGCCACGGAGGAAGAGCGAGTTCACAGAAGGAAAGATAAATCTGAACTCCAGACATGCCATGGGGCTAGTGAGCTGTCTATATGCAGCTACAAATGTGGGAGCCGACAGCTCAGGCAGAAAGATCAGGCGGGGCCATGGGTAATCAGAACGGGATTATGCCACAACCTTTCTTCAACACACCTCTTTATTTCAATTGAGATATGGTTTGGTCATAAAAGTTTTAAACCAAGGGAAGTCACTAAACCAATATTTAGTTAAGCTATTAATTCTCCTGATTTAATCTCTATTTAGGTAGACATTCTGCTAATATTTTAGGAACCTTTAATCTCTTTTTAGGTATACATTTTGCTAATATTTTGAGGAAAATACTAATACTAAAGCTATAATGTCTTTTTTTTAACCTGTAAAAATCTTTATTTGCTCTCTCTACATTCATTCAACAAATTTTTACTGAACCTCTCTACTACTGAATGTAAGGCTCTATCAGCTTATATGGGGAATAAATAATATAAGGGTCCTGGCCTAAAAAGCTACAGCTTGTCAGTTAATTAAGAAGGGCCAAAGCAGTAGCACTACCAGGCAACGTGGTTTTAGAAAACAAACTCGACAGTGAGCTCCCAGTCTGAGAGTTATCAGGGATCAGCTGTGTCATGGAAGAACGGGGACTTGTCTGATTCTAAAAGGTGGCAGTGGGTATGGGAGGCAAATATTAAGTCAGCGGCCATCATGGGTTAAGCCCGAGTCAGGACGCCATTAACAGTGCAGTGGGCTAGACTTTCCAACCACGGTCTACGAAGCGCTATCCACCACCCCATGGCAACGCTCCAAGAGACCTGCAAACCCTTGTTAGGAACTTAACTCTTCACAATCTAATATAAAACCATGCAAAACACTGTTGTAGCATGGATGTACAACTGTGTTCTACAGCATCACTGAGCAGGTAGGCTTCCATAATGTACTAAGTCAAGTTACCTAACTGACGGGCTTTATAATGGGTAAATGGCATACATTCATACTTAAATATTAACAAAGCAGCTTTATCTGCTTTATATATTGGGGTTCCGCATACAGTATCATTAGTAAAAAAAAGGGAGACCCTCTGGTTACTATTGGTTTAATGGCATACCAATCACTTTGTATGCCTCTGGACCTCACAGGTAGTACATTACTCCGGTTCCAATGCACTGAGTCCAGGTGGGGCCCTTCTGAAACGCGTGAAGCTCAGCAGACCAGAGTTAGAGCCTTACTGCTGTGTAGGTTGAGCATTCTATTAGGTAATGCTTCCTGGATGTGTTAGTTTTGTCAACTTTTTCCTTTATGTCTGTGAGATAAGGCTTACAAGCATCATTATGGCTTTCCTGTGTGATAGTGAGCCACGATGGGTTTGTTTTGGTTTTTCTGTGTCATATTTGGAAAACCAGAGGTTCCTCATATAACCTAATAGAAAGGTGCCCACAATAAATTCTGTTTAGTTCTTACCAGTATATTGTCATACCACAGATCGATGGCACCAGAGTGCCACTTGTCTTACTGGTGGCTTGTATTACAAGGTCATATTTCTCAAAATCCATTTATTACCAACTATGATGGTTAAGGTTGTGTGTTAACTTGGCTGGGCTATGATTCTCAGAGGTTTGGCAGTTGTGTAATGATGTAATCTGGCAGTTAAGTAATGTTGTAATCAACTCCATGATGAGATCTGCTATGAGCAGCCAGTCAGTTAGAAGGGAGCTTCCCTGGGGGTGTGGCCTGCCTCCAGTATGTAAATGGATGTTTCAGCAAGGCTCTCGCTCTGGATCCTGCATCTGGCTCATCATTATCTGACCTCCCGTTCTTGGGACTTCAGCCAGCACTTCACCTGCTGATCTTGGGATTCCTCAGCCTCTGCAGCCTGTGAGCCAGTGGTCTGCCATCTGACCTGCTGATAGTTGGGTTCCTCAGACCCTGCGGCTGTGTGAGTCTGGAGAAGCCTCCAGCCTGATGCCTGACCCACAGACCTGGGACTTGCCAGCTTCTACAACCACGTGAGCCATTTCCTTTATATACATATATATATATACATTTCACTGATTTTGATTCTGTAGAGAACCTGTTTGGTACCAAGAGTGGTTCTAGAGAAAGAAAATTGTAGATGAGTTTTCTAAATTGGTTCTCAAGTCTGGTTAGTTTTAAAGATGTTGATGACTCTGCTTCTAGTAGTAAAGAGGGCGCTGCTAATGCATGACATGAAGTGGCAATGGAATTACACAAAATATCATCACCAACAGATCAAGTATTGATGAGAAGAGAGGCTCTGGGTGATCATATGTTTGAAACTTTTCTACAATCTTGTTGCAATAAGAAGGAAGCAGGTTGGTTGGTCCTACTTTTCCTAGACAAAGTGGTGAAAGAAAGAGATGAGCTCAGGGCGTCAGAGTCACAGCTAAAGCACCGCACAAACGACCTCAGAGTTGCCACTTGGGCCCTGAAAGAAAATTTTATTTCTTGTAGTAACAGAGCTGATACTGTTGAAAGCCAAACCCAGAGTCTTAATGTGAGAGTGGCTGAAGTAAAACGCCAACTGAATTCCCAATCTCAAATTGTGTCTGAAGTTAAAGTGAGAGCATTTATTAGGAAGAAATGGGATCCTGAACCCTGAGATGGAGACACTGAGTCGCGAAATTCTGTTGAATGACGCCTGCCAACAGAACCAGCTCTCTCACTCCCATCTGAAGAGATTACTCCATCTTTGTCTGCTAAGCCACCCTTCCCAGTAAAACCATTAGTCTCCCTGCCCCCGTCTGATGAAATTAACCCAGCTGCTTCTGAAGAGCCTTTGTGTGAATCATCCCCTGTGGAGGCTTCTGAGTCACAGCCTGGGGCATCGCCCGAAGCACAGCCTGAGGCGAAAGTCTTACAAGACATTGCTGAATGGTTCTCAGAACACATCACCACCACCCATTTTTGCTTCCAGACTTAGGTCCCAATGAGCCCCAAAAGGTGAAGTACAAAGTGTGACCAGCAAGAGGTACACTACACTCCAAAAGAACTGCCTGACTTTTCTAATATGTACAAACAGAAACCTGGGGAATATATATGGGAATAGCTATTAAGAATACAGGATAATGTTGCAACGAACATTAAGTTGAATCAATCTGTTTATTGATACATGCCTACTAAGCACAGATCCTTCATTTGATGTTACAGCTCA